CTCCCTCGGTCTTGGTCTTGTCTTGGTCTCGGACTTTAAAAGTCTTGGTCTTGTCTCGGTCTCGGTACACTCTGGTCTTGACTTGTCTTGGTCTCGGGTTAGGTGGTCTTGACCACAACACTACGGTGTCTCCAGACTCTGTCACGTCTGTCACATGCTCAGTGTGAACCTGCTTTCATCCATGAAGAGCACAAGGTGCCAATGGTGAATCCACCAATTTTGGTGTTCTCTAGCAAACGCCAAGCGTCTGCACGGTGTCGGGCTGTAAGCACAGGCTCTATACGTGGACGCCGGCCCCTCATACCACCCTCATGGAGTCTGTTTCTGACTGAGTGGAAACATGCACACTAGTGGCCTGCTGGAGGTCATTCTGTAGGACCCTGGCAGTGGACCTCCTGTTCCTCCTTACATAAAGGACGAGGTAGCGCTCCTGCTGCTGGGTTGTAGCCCTCCTACGGCCTCCTCCATGTCTCCTGGTGTACTGTAGTGATGGTAGTATGAAACAAAAGCTTCAAAACATGCTTCGAAACCCTGAAGTACATTGGACCTCTGCTTCGGAACTTGTTTTGGTGCGGAAAAAGTCACGTGACGTCCGAAACACAAATTGTTTCGTTGTCAGAATGAATCGTTTGACTGGTTCGTGGTTCATTCAGCTGATTCAGGCACCTCCTCGTCTCGATGCTGACAGGTTGAGACAGTTTTGAATTGAGAGCTCAACAGTATGAAACAGCTCTAAAATGTTTGCAATGTGTTGGAGAGTAGGTGTGTTTCTGCTGCTGTTAGTTGAAATAGAGTAATTATAGAGGCAGCCAGGAAAAGAGGTCGTTCTAACATGTGGGAACACTTCATTCTGCTCATGAGGTGGTTTGGGCATTTAAATAGATATGTAAAAAAGTTATAATGTTCAGCAGCGAAGATATTATCTTACCCATTTAATAATAATCTATCAATAATAATAATCTAACCCATTTATTACGAATAATAAAATTCTTTATTATTAATGTCTTTGCACCATTTTTCACAGGATTCTTGTCTTTGTCATTTCATAGTTGTTTTTAAGAAAGATAAAGACTCGGACTCTGCCACAGTTACACAAGCACAATACCATCGCAACATTTTTATCTCTTCAATGCACATTTATCAATCTTTACTTGAACACATGTAAGTATAAATACATTTTCAAACCAGACAACATAGAAAGTTGATGAATTTTAAAAAATCTGTTGTTTTTTTTACTACAGTAAAGTAGTTTCTTTAACACTAGAGTCACTGAAGTTCTTGGTGTGTGCCACCCAAAGCACACCACCTAATATGACAGCAGCATTGAAAAGTGCCATAAGAGGTCGCTGTAACTGAAGCTTCAACAAATGAACCTGATTTTGAAACATTTGGCTCAACTGGCTCAGTGCTTCATAAAACTTAATTTGCTCATCACTAGTGTACTGGCCTGTCTCCTGGTACATATTCCATGCTCTGGACACTGTGCTGAGAGACACAGCAAATCTTCTTGTCACTGCTCACATTGATGCTCCATCTTGGATTAGCTGCACTACTTGATCAACTTCAGTGAGCTGTAAAAACCTCCTCATGATGCCTCTGTGTGTGACAGCACTGACTAAATGACAAAGTGACAAAGTTCAACCAGAAAGGACGAGAACAGAGAAATGACCTGTGCTCACCACCTGCAGAATCACTCTTTTATAGGGGTTGTCTTGATAACTGCCTCTCCTACAGATGTTGTGTGTTCCATTTGCACAGCAGCAGATGAAACTGATTCCCAGTAAGTGTTACTACCTAACTGGTAACATTGATTCCACATAGGTGTGACTGATATGGAGTTTCATTGTTTTGTTTGTGCTCCTTTATTTTTTTGTGCAGTAATTAGAAACTATATATATATATATATATGTGTATACGTTGCTTTAGGTCCAGTGTCAACTTTCCACAGTCAGTGATGGTTTGGGGGCCATGTCATCTGCTGGTGTGGGTCCACTGTATTTTCTGAGGTCTAAGGTCAACGCAGCTGTCAACCAGGAAGTTTTAGAGACTTCATGCTTCCTGCTGCTGACCAACTTTATGGAGTTGCAGGTCTCATTTTCCAACAGGACTTGGCACCTGCACACGGTGCCAAAGTTACCAGTACCTGGTTTAAGGACCATGTTCTGAACTGACCAGCAAACTCACCTGACCTTAACCCCATAGAAAATCTTTGGGGTTTTGTGAAGAGGAAGATGTGATACACCAGACCCAACAATTCAGAAGAGCTGAAGGCCACTATCAGAGCTACCTGGGCTCTCATAACACCTGAGCAGTTCCACAGACTGATCCACTCCATGCCACGCCACATTGTTGCAGTAATCCAGGTAAAAGGAGCCCCAACTAAGTACTGAGTGCTGTGCATGCTCATACTTTTCATGTTCATACTTTTCATGTTCATACTTTTCAGTTGGCCAACATTTCTAAAAATCATTTTTTATTGGTCTTCAGTAATATTCTAATTTTCTGACTTACTGAATTTGGGGTTTTCATTAGTTGTCAGTTATAATCATCAACATTAAAAGAAATAAACATTTGAAATATATCAGTCTGGTCACCAAATCCATGCTCTATAAAATCCAACAATGGTCAGTCAGGCCATCTGGACCGTTTCTTTTTTTGTGCTGAGACGTTTCGCCCTCCATCCAGAAGGCTTCATCAGTCTGAGGAAACAACAAACAAAAGTGATTCTCCCTCAACAGCTTACTCCAAAGTGGAACAAACCAGTTCTGCTTGTGATAAGATGGTCTCTGGGGCCCGCCCTCTCCCTCGTCGACTCGTCTGTGTGTAATGAATGAATATAATATCCAAGTTTCACTTTTTGAATGGAATTACTGAAATAAATGAACTTTTTCATGATATTCTAATATTACGAGCAGCGCCTGTATCAGTAGTCCCTCGTTTATCACGGTTATTTGGGACCACGTCCGCTCACGATAAGTGAAAACCGTGAAGTAGGGATGCAGTAGTTCAAGTTCAAGTTCAGCTCAAGTTCAGTAAACTTTAAGTCATGACGTGTACCAGGCTGCAATCTCACTCATCACCTGTTACTCCCAATCTCCCTCCTGAAATAAACAATTTAAAATGTAAATACTGCAACATTTTAAATAAACAATCCACACATCATGGATTGTTTATTTAAAATGTTACAGTATTTAAATTTAAATTGAAGAGAAGAGAAGTGCAGCAGGACATCAAAGTGAAGTCACACAGCTTCAGCTCTGCAGCACGGAGCAGGAATGTACTTCTGGATCCATTCCACTGAAACAACTGAACATAGAAGTTCTGAAATAACTAAAAATAACTTTCAACACTTTTATATTTTGTGATTATGACAATTTTTTCGATGTGACATACTTTGAATTTTAAGTTGGAAGACAAAAGTCGATCGGTGCATCTGGACAGCAAAGGGTTAACCCTTCACAGCTGCAGCAGGAGTAAGGTGTGCGTGGCAGAGAAGGAAATCAGCTGATCAGCTGCAGGAGCTTCCCCTGCACTTGTGGGATGCACACATGGTGCAAAATCATTTAAAATTATTTATTTTAAATAAACAACCCATGACTCATCCATCAATCAGCCAATTGTGTCATGTCCTATCTTATTTTGAAAATCTGTGATGTAGCAAATCTGCGAACCACGAAGGAGCGAGGGACTATTCTATCTATCTATCTAGATATATTTATATAATAACGTGTCAGAATTTGTCCAGAGGACTTGACTTAACTTTGTTGCATTAAGCGTACAATGTAATTATGACTGAAAATGGAGGATTTACCTGCAGTTACTTTTCTACAGATGAACATGTACTTCTGTTTATCTCTGTTGTAATCAGCTGATCGTGGAGTCAGCCGCCGGCCTTTATCCATATTTTACATTTTTCCAGACTCTGTTTGGATTTTGGAAATGGAATAAACTAATCCATCCTCTAAACCATGGGTGTCAAACCCACTTACAAAAGGGGGCCAAAATTAAAACATTTTTCAAACTAAGGGCCGGTTTCAGAATCTACATGAACTCGAGATAGATACTCAACATCTGTTCTTGGTCGCAGGTTCCTAAACAAGAGTTTGATTGGTCTCATTTGACGTTCTCTGTTACACTTTTGACATCATAATCAAAGATTACTGAAAAACAAGTAAGTGAAAAAAGTATTTTACATTTAAAATAACATCCTGGGGGCCAGATAAGATGTCAACGAGGGCCACATTTGGCCCCCGGGCCTTGAGGATAACTCGGGATAACGCTGTCTGAATGACATGTTCTCTACTGACAACGTGGGTTTTTTTTTTGTTTTTTTTTTAATGATGATTTTTCACAAAATCCAACTGACCGCAAAGTGTTCGTAATGTAAAACCCCGACAATGCTGTTGGAGGTAAAGGGGGTGGAGCTCCTGCAGGTAAGGGGCGTTTACCTTCGGCACAAATTGAGATCACTGATTGGTCAGTTGCTGACGATCGTGCTGGATTGATTGACAGACGGCGTTGAGGGTCCGACTCATGCAAAAAAAACCCAGATATTACTGAACTGTTTGACTGTCATCACTTAGTCAATATTTTAATGAGTCTAAGATTTGAGAACTGAGCTTCCTAAAAAATCCTAATGATTTTTTTTTCAGGGGTACTGAGTTAAAATGTAGGGGTACTTTAATGAACACCTCCAAAAAGAGGCTAAAACCACCACTGGTGACCATCTTGAATTGGGTTGACACAAAGTTAATATGAAGATGTACGACGTTATATCCAGTGAATACTTTCTGAGGGTTTCACTGAAATCTTTTATTTCTGTTCATGAGATATTATACAGACAAAAGAACACACACAAGCAAATACGTTATCACACTTTTGGCTTAAGTGGCAGATAATAAAAGTATAGAAAACTCCATCTTTAAATGTGGACTACTTTTTTTGACATTTTGACTCTCAGGTCATTCTGGAGATCAGACCATCATCTTAATGTCTGCACATTATTCATAGCAAAAAATATTTGGGTAAAAGTATTGAACAGCGTAGGTTACAAGGAATATCAAGATGAGGGCAATGGGCCGAACAAGCAGAATGATCCAGTAGTTGGAGTCTCTTTGGAGGGATTCCCAGTCTGTGGTCCATTTGTTGCCTAGAAGAACAAAAAGGTTTCTGAAGCTGTTAGTGCACAAGAGAAGGCAACTCATTTACTAACGCAAAGTGTGACGCAAGGATAATTATTTCTGAATCTCATTCTTTGTTACCTGCAAGGACTCCAAGATGCATCAAAAAGGGTAAAAGGTTAAAAAAAAGCCTGCCTTTATTTTAAATGCTGGGCTTCGCTTTCAAATACGTCGTACAGTTTGGGTGAAAATAGTCAAATGTTTAGCTTTAGAGACTGAAGTAGTAAATTCAATACTTACGACAAAGTCTGTCTACACAAGCTCCTTCACATCCTGAGCAGGCCGGTCCAAGCTGGTAAGGCTGCTTTCCCTTCCAGTTCCCACTGCCAAGGGAAGCACAGTTTAGTTCAGTCTCTTCTGGTGTAAACAGTAGCTGCAGAAAATATTGCTTTTAGCTACTTTTACCTTTAGTTGGTTAGCTTTGGAGTTTTTTTTATAATTTTTTTTTTGCTGGGTTTCCTAATTTGCTGTTTCTTTTAGCTATTGTTCTGCTACTTTAATTTTATTTTTCTACAAGCTTTTTTTGCTGCTTTTAGCTATTAACTCCTTTTCTGCTACTTTGATTTTTAGCCTTTAATACTTTTAGCTTTTAGATAGCTTTGACATTTTTCCCATATAGCAATTTTTTTTTTAAACTTGTTGGTACTTTTGGCATTTAGTTATATTTTTGCTGCTTTTTGCTAGTTTTATTTTGACCTTTTAGTTACCTTCAGCTTACAGCAAGCCTTGACTGTAGCTAGTGTTTTGTTGCTGTTTTGCTCATTTTAGCTTTTAGTATTCTGTCTTTTGTACTGCACATTTTTGTATCTAACTACTTTTGCACAGTTTGTGCTATTTTAATCATACATCAAAAAGTTCAGCTACTTCAGGAGATGGGTGCCATGATATTTGGTTTTCAAACAGTATTTAACTTTATTTACAAAAACAAAACCCAGAATAAAATTAATTGATATTTCATCAAATTCTTCATATTTGTTTTCTTGGAAATCTACTTTAGTAATACCTTCTAATACTACTACTAATGCAAAATCTGCTACTTCTAGTAGTACTAATGCAAATAGTAATTCTACCAAAGCTCAGGCTACTGCTAATGCTAATTTTACTACTGTCAATGCTAAAACTGCTAATGCTAGTTCTGCTAAACTGCATTTTAGCGAAATATTCTGAGTCAGAGTTTCTTTATTGTCATTCGCACCTCATGTGGTACATGTGGTGGAGCAAAATTATGTACACATGGTCCCAGTTACATTCAACAATAAAATGTAAAAGAAAAACTAATAACATCTAAGATATGAACTAAGAAAAGCATCAACTAAAGATACACTAAGCACTCATAACATAAAAACATTACGTCGAACATCAGCAAAAACATGAACATGAGTCTGTGAAAGCAGATGAGCACGCATGAACACATCAACATTGAAACAGATCAGCAGCAACATGAAACAGATCAGCAGCAACACGATGCAGTTTTTTCACAGTGATTATTCTGGTTAGAGATTCACAACTTTAACAACCTCAGAGTAGAAGCTGTTCAAAATGTTTCAAAATTTTTTCAGTTCTGCTTGTGATAAGATGGTCTCTTTGGTACGCCCCTCCTCCATTGCCAGCTCTCTTCCTTGTTGACAGTCTTGTCAAACTGGTTGTTTTGCTTTTTATCACAAGCAGAACTGGTTTGTTCCACTTTGGAGTAAGATGTTGGGGGAAGAATCAGTTTTGTTGTGTTTCCTTGACTGATGAAGCCTTCCGGATCGAAGGCGAAACGTTTCAGCACAAAAAAAGAAACTGTCCAGATGACCTGACTGAAAAATGTTGGATTTTATACCTGGGTTATTGAACATGGACTTTGTTGTTAGTAGAAGCTGTTCCTCAGTCTAGTTGTTCTACACTTAATGCTCCTCAACCTCCTTCCTGAGGGGAGTGGGGCAAAAAGTGTGTGTGCTGGGTTAGTGGGGTCCTTCATGATGCAGGTGGCCCTCTTCCTGCATCTAGAGGTGTAGATGTCTGTGATGGTGGGGAAACTGACTCCAACGGTCTTCTGTGCAGCCTTCACCACTCTCTGCAAAGATTTTATTTCTGCAGGTTTGCAGCCTCCATGTCACACGTTTATGCTGGAGCACAGGATGCTCTCCACTGCACACCTGTAGAAGGAGATGAGGACTGAGCTTCCCAGACCAGCTCATCTCAGCCGTCTGAGAAAGTAGAGTCTCTGATGAGCTTTCTTGATCAGGCTGGTGGTGTTGTTGCTCCAGCTGAGGTTGTCATTCATGTGTACACCCAAGTACTTGTAGCTGGAGACCACTTCCACCGCAGATCCTCTTATGTTCAGAGGGGTGTATGTGTTTTTGTTCCTTCTGAAGTCCACAATCATCTCTTTTGTCTTCTTCACGTTGATGTGAAGGTTATTCTTTTTGCACCAGCTCTCCAGGTGTTCCACCTCTTGCCTGTAGCTGGACTCATCATTGTTTGTGATGCAGCCCACCACCGCTGTATCATCTGCAAACTTTTCAATGTCAACATCTCATGTCCACTAGGTAGCATGCTGTCCTTTCTGCAGCAGCTGATGGACAGAAATCTAGCGTTCAGCACAATTAAGACTTATGCTGCAGCTATTTCTTCCTGTCACGAGGGCTTCGGTGACAGAACAGTTTTTAATCACCCGCTGATGAAGCGTTTCCTGAAAGGTGTACGGAGACACAAACCGGTGTCATGCCCCCTAGCTCCACAGTGGGACCTAACAATGGTTCTGTGCACTCTGATCAAAGCTTCTTTTGAGCCTTTAGATCAGGTTTCACTTAAATTCTTGGCACTTAAAACAGCCCTGCTGCTGGATTTGACATCAGCAAAGAGAGTGAGTGATTTATCTGCGCTCTCTGCTGCCCCGTCATGCCTCAGGATTCAAGCTGATGGCAGCTCAGCTGCGCTGAGACCTAACCCAGCTTTCATACCAAAAAACATCACAAGCTCATTTAAATCAGGAATGATAACCTTGGAGGGGTTTTATCCTCCTCCTCACAATTCAGAGGAGGAAGCATCATCTCACCTCCTCAGTCCCGTGCGCGCGCTTGCATGTTGTATATTTTGTTTTGTTTTTATGACGTGTGCTGCTGTTGCCTGTTCTTAGCCAGGTCACCCTTGTGAAAGAGGTGTTGATCTCATTGGGTTTTTGTCTGGTTAAATAAAGGTTTAATAAAAAATAATATAGCACGCACGGCCCCACTGCATTATTATCAGCGTCTGTTTGTGCATTACAGGGACACCTCTGCAGGTCGCCCTTTATCCACTCAGTGCCTCTCACACTGGCTGTGTGAGGCTATTTCTTAAGCTTCTGAAGAGCATCAGGACTGGACCCTCCAGAGAATCTCAGAGCTCATTCCACCAGTGGGATTTCATCCTCTACAGCTTTGCATGGAGGGATGACAGTGGAGGGCAATTGTACGACGGCCGCTTAGTCATCACCTTGTTCATTTATTCGCTTCTATCTACGTGATGTCTCTGCTTTCTCCATAACTCATTCTGTTCTCAGCATTCTAACAGAATGATTTTTACTTTTTCCATGGAATTTCATTTTAAGCTCACATCTGACTGCATGCAATTACAGTGTGAGACATTTATTATCAGTCACAACAGCTCGTCTTTCGATGGAGTGTATTTGTCTGGGTCAGTCAGATACAGCATCATCGAGTTAATTGCAGGATCCAACTTCTGAAGTTGGATGATGTCCGGGTCAGTCAGCATTGGGCGTACAGAAACTGTGTTATCAGCAGGTTTAGCTGCAGCTTGTGCGCGTGTGACTGCCATTACCTCAGTTGTAGCTTGTGACGACTGAGTGTTGAGTAGCCAGGAGGGGTTAAAGGACCACGTGGGTCCGTCAACGGCTCCTTCCTTGGCTAGGGAGTCTGCAAGGTCATTGTAGTGCTTGTCATCGCCTGGGACTCTGGAGTGTCCTGGAACTTTCTTCCAGAA